ATAGTGTTTTGTGAAAAAAACTACAATGTTTTCCCAGCATGATTTAACCTTACTTGTAATTGTAATTCTCAATTAGTTTATATTAAAAAAATAAAATTGATAAGATAATTTTAGAGAAAAAAACCACGCGAGGAAAATATATAGCAATTCATGAAGAAAGTTATAGTGATTTCCCCATATACTATACTTGTAATTCTCAATCAGTTTAATATTAAAAAATAAAATCGACAAAGATAATTTAAAAAAAAATCATAAAAAATAAAAAACAAAGAAAACCATGTGGAAAAACACCACAGTAATCCATAATATTTTAAAGAAAAAATTATAGAGTTAAATTCTCAACTAACTCAATATTAAAAAAATAAAATTGACAAATATAATTTTAAAAAAATCATAAAAACAAAAAAAAAATATGAAAAAACACTGTAGCAATCCATAATGTTTTGTGAAAAAAACTATAGTTATAATTCTCCACTAACTCAAAGATTAAAAAATAAAATCAATAGATAACTTTGAAAAAAATCATAAAAAAACTACATGGGGGAAACACTATATCAATTTATAATGTTTTAAAAAAATTATAAAACTAAAATTTTAACTTGGTTAATATTTAAAAAAAATAAAATTAACATGAATAATTTTTTAAAAATATAAAAAAAAATACTATAACAATCTATAATAATAAATAAGGAAAATTGCAGTGTATTCTGCCACATGTTTTAATTATATTGTAATGCAAATGTTATTTGCTAAAAAGGTAACATGAAAAGGACCGTGGCCTTTATCACAGCTATATTCACATCTAAAGTTTTACATCAATTTAATATAATAGAAGGTAACTTAAAGTATTTTTTTACTTATAAATATATTAAAATAAATTTTTTTAAATTTTTTTTTTAATATCAATGTGTCAAAATAATAATAAAAATTAATTTTTAAAAAAACATGAATTTGCTTGCATTATTTAGATATTTGAATTTTCACTTTTTTAATGTTGAATATAATTGCAGAATCGAAGAAAGTGTTTGATACATTCAAAGTGTTAGTATCAAAATCTCACAAATAGATAAATATCAAAAAAAAAAAAAAAATTTTTTTAAAAAATAATAACCGGCGGTTTGCTTCGAATCATGGATGGGCAAGTTTGCTTTCAATTCAGGGTCGAATCTAGACCCCGTAGATGATTTAAGTTCTTGATACCCTGACCAAGTCTTCATAATCGTGAAACCCGAGAGCAACCTGGTGATCAAGTGGTAAGAATTTGGGATCAAAGGGTTTGCTCCCTCTGTGGTCTCAGGTTCGAGTCCTTGGTTGCTCATATGATGGCTACTAGAGGCTTACATGGTCGTTAACTTCAGGGCCCGTGAGATTAGTCGTGGTGCGCACAAGCTGGCCCGGACATCCACGTTAATTAAAAAAAAAAAAAACATATGTGCGGGCCATGGGATCCAACCTGTCCAGTGGACTTTCATTGACCCCTTTTCGTAAGTAAGATATATCAACAAGGGAAAAATTTAGAGATATTCTTTTAAAGAATCCAAAATCATTACACATGCACGTATGAAGTCCGTTTGAAATTATGTTCTAAATAGCATTTTTAAAAATATTTTTTATATTTTTTTTTATCATTTCAATACATCAATATTAAAAATGATTTTTAAAAAATTAAAAAAAATACTATTTTATTATATTTTCAAACAAAATCATTTTAACAAACAAATAACATCATACTAAAAAAACCCCCCCAAAAAATAAAATAATAATATTAAACATTAAAATAAAACAATGGTATATATAGAATCAAATGACAACTACATGGAGTTTTATGATAGCTGTATAGTGATTTTTAAAATGATATTTTTCTTTAAAAATATATTAAAATGTTTTTTTTTATCTTTAACATCATCATAAAAAAAATAAAAAAATACTTCTATAATGTACTTTAAAAGCAGAAGAGATTATGTCAAACACCCTATAAATAAATAATTTTCTAAAAAATCTTACTAATATTGAATTAATGATTTAATACAATGATTTAAAAATCATCTTACATGATATTGGGCATTAATCAATGCACTTCTATTTAAGTGATAAAGGCATCTTGATAATAACCAAAAGATAAATTAAAGGTAATTCATAATTAATTGTTTTTTTAAAAAATAGTTTTGATTGATGACATGTAAATGTTCTTACTATCAAATTAAAAAAATTATCACACTAAATTCACTAACCAAGAGTTATTTTTTAATCTAAAAAAAAAAAACTGTTGTCATTCCACGTGTATGTATAATCGAACATTTCAAAAGATTTTTTTTTATAAATTAAAATTTACTCATATAAGTTTAAATTCTTTTTATAATGTATTCAAACACAAATAAAAAGACAGGAGACCTCGTTACTTATTTTAATTGATATATTAAAATAATATTTTTTATTTTTTAAAAATTAACATATTAAAATAATTTAAAAATTATTAATTTAAAATAAAAAAAATTAAAATTTTTTCACAAACATTTTTATTAAAAAAAAAACTATATCAATCCACCGTCACAAATTTCCACAGTCGCGCCTCTTAAAACACAAAAATTCAATTCCCGCCTTAGAAACACCTCCCATTGGTCCATCCACATTGCACGCGGATCGCGATTCTCGTCTCGATAATCCAAAGATTCCTACCCGTCGATCAATCAATAATCAACGGCCCTAATTCACTCTCCTCACTTTTCCCCTAACTCAAAACCCCTCCATCGAAGCACGAAAATTTCAAATCCCCGCTTACCCCAACCAAACCTCCCCTTAAATTAGGCCCAAATCTCAATCGTTTATCATCATACTCTTAACGAAAGCAAAAGCTAGAGCAATTTATCTTTTATCTGCAATTCTCTTTCGATTCAATCAGCAATGGCCCGTACCAAGCAGACTGCCAGAAAATCCACTGGAGGCAAGGCCCCTCGCAAGCAGCTGGCAACTAAGGCTGCCCGGAAGTCTGCCCCAGCCACCGGAGGCGTGAAGAAACCCCACCGTTTCAGGCCAGGAACTGTGGCTTTGAGAGAAATTAGGAAGTACCAGAAGAGCACTGAGCTTTTGATCCGCAAGCTTCCATTCCAAAGGCTTGTGAGAGAAATTGCTCAGGATTTTAAGACTGATCTCAGGTTCCAGAGCAGTGCTGTTTCTGCTCTTCAAGAAGCAGCTGAGGCTTATCTTGTGGGTCTCTTTGAGGACACAAATCTGTGTGCTATTCATGCTAAAAGGGTTACAATCATGCCTAAGGATATTCAGCTGGCTAGAAGGATCAGGGGTGAAAGGGCTTAAAGACATGTTAGGTCTTTCTGGGTAGATCGGCAACTCTTATCCCTGTTTGTATCTTCTAGGTATCATAAGTCTATTTCCTTGTCTAGTGCCTTCGCCTCCAAGTACTAAAAGATGTAATCGTTTTAGATGTAATGGAAGGATGATTACTTGCTATATCAGCTGAGTTCGCATCTCATTTTTGTACATTCTGCGAGTTTGTTAATATGCCTCAAAAAATCTGAGCAGTGATCATGCCTCTGGTAGAAATCCAAGTTTGGGTTTATTGTTTTTCACGCTGGTGATCGTTGTGAAACCCCTCATTTAGCCTTGTTCTGAAGGACTTGTTAATGCTATAAAGTTGAAACCTTGTTCCAACGCCTCCTCTCATCTAATGATTCGATGACGGGCTGAAGCCAATGAATGTGGCCTATTGGTGTTCGGTTATTTTGGCTCAACCTCTATAAGGCGGTCGAGAAAGCCACAAAAAAGTAAAAAACGCTGTGGAGTGGTATCCGTCAGTTTTCTTATTTAAACATAATTTTATCTGTTCGGTTATAAAATGAATCATAATTTTTATTTTTTAACCTCACCAAAAGTTTTAAACTTAGTTTTTTAAGAACCTGCTTTCATATGCTTTTGCTATATTTTTTTGATGCCTTTCATTGAGTTGTATTTTATTATTATTGAATTTGCTATCCAAATTAAAATAACCACACCCTTTTTTGAATTAATAGAAATATTGATGTTGTGCAGTTTTTGTATAAGTAAAAAATTTCTAGAAACCTAAGTTTTTGTATACATGATTAAAAAAATTATTTTTAATTCTCATCAATTATTTATATAATCCATCATAATTTTATTTATGAATTTTTTTTAATTGATATACTTCTATGTTTACAATTCCATCAAAACTAAAGGGTTTTTTTTTTTTTTAATAACACGAGGTGTTCGAATTGGTTTATAAGCATCACGATTAATCCTTGGATTCACTGAATATCCTATAAATCTAATAGATATGTAAGGTACCATGGAGATGACAAATGTACACGTTAAGACTTGAACTCAAGATACAAAGGTAAAAAAATTCTGTCAAGACTACTGAGCTAAAGTCTCAGTGCAAGAAGAACTAGAAGTTTTTTTTTTTGATAATCCGGGATGTTCGGACTAATTTATGCACACGACAATTAATTTTTAGATCTATTAAATATTCTGCAAGTTTAGTAGGCAAGTAAAGTATCATAGGGGTGATAAATATGCATGTTAAGAGTTTATTAACCTAGAATGTATAAATAAAGAAACTCTACTATGACTATTAGGCTACAAGCCTTGATTCAACTAGAGGTTTTTTTAATATTTATGATAGTATTATAGTAAATATAACTAAATAATAAAATTTGAGCTATAATTCACATTGTTGTTTTTATAATATATTACTAATAAAATGCACATTAATATAATAAAAAAAATAAAAAATTAATACATATATTTTTAAATTATTTTATTATCAACATTAATTTTAATTATTATTTTAACCAATATCTTGAATATGGTTTTTATTAAAAAATAAAATAAATAAAATATATATTTTAATTAAAATAATAACAACTAAAAATAAAATTTTTAAATAATTTTTTTATATTAAAATCTCCAACAATATCAAACACACTAAAAAACTCTGACCATTCATTAACTAAAGTGGACCCTAATTCGAATCCGGTTCAAGGAAAGGGTCCTCGGTTCACCTCTCAAAACAACAGCGTCAATAAAGAGAAGACTAGACGAGACAAGACTGGGAAGCAAAGCAGTAAAAATCTCAAAAAAACTGAACGAGAAAGACAAGCAAAATTCGAGCAAGAAAAATCAAGCAGGGAGATGGAAGAGGATAACAGCAGTAGCAGCGCTAATTTAGAAACATCAAAGGCAGACAGATCTGTTTGGTTGATGAAGTGTCCAGTAGTGGTTGCGAAGTCATGGAAAAATCATACCTCCCCTTCTTCTTCAGATTCTGCCCCTCTTGCTAAAGTCGTTCTCTCCCTCGATCCTCTCCAATCTGACGATCCCTCTGCTCTTCAGGTACTCTTCGTCTTCTCAATTTGCGCTCAATGTTTGATTTTTTTTAATAATTAGGGTTTCATCGTTTAACTCTTTAACCCTAGTTTATTTTAGTCAGTGAACTATTCTTACTTATATCAGTCGAGTTGAGCAAATTATAAATCCGAGGATACTAAAGCTGTAATGGAATTTGTGTAATGGATTTTTTAAGGTAGCTCTTAAACTATATGACCTATAGTTTATCATGAAGCGTTCAATAGTTCAATCAGCTGATGATTGCTTGGTGCGCTTGAATTTTCATTTATAAGATGCTTTATTTCACTAGTCATCTGTATTGTTAGGCATTGATTGCAAAAGTCAATCTGTACTTTTTATCTGGGAATTTAAATCAGATGATCGTATATGTGTGGATTCTCGAGGCCGAAATAGCTTGTAATGATTTTAAAAGAGAGCATATAGTTTATATCTGGTTGCTTGATATGTTATCTTTGTAATTCATCATTTCATCTCTCTTACATGATTCCAAATGGTAATCAGTTCACTATGGAGATGGCTCGCACCGAGACTGGGAATGTACCGAAGAGTTATTCTTTGAATATGTTTAAAGACTTTGTTCCTATGTGCGTCTTTTCTGAGACACCTCAAGGTGAGGATCCAGTTTGTAACTTCTGGATGATTTTTCACATTTTTTTTTTTTTTGTGGAAGAAATTTTGTGATTCTTTTGACTGGTGAGTCAGGATTCAAACAATTCTTGAGGATCTCGCTAGCCCTTTATTGGTTTTTGTGGATGTTTGTATTTTCAATCCTTTATGATTCGACTCAATTTCAATAATTATCTCCTGTCATTTGTTATTATTGACTCAAGTACAATACTTGATGTGAAGATTGATGTTGAACATTGCAATTTGCAGAAATATTAATAAGGGACCTCTCATTCACGAGTATGCATGTTTATTGTATATGAGCATCATACTTCTGAAGGCACTTGCTCATTACTCATGAGTATGCAATTCGGATGTTTCAAACAGATGCAGTCTACATGTTTTTGATCTAATCCATGATAGTATGCTTTGCACTGATATCTGCTTTTCTTTGTACACTGATATTAGCTACTTGTTTTGGATTTCTACTATTTGCAAAATCTTTTCAATTATTTATAGGGAAGGTCGCCATGGAAGGAAAAGTGGAACATAAATTTGACATGAAGCCCCATGAGCAGAACATTGAGGAGTATCATAAATTGTGCCGTGAAAGGACGAAGAAATCTATGGTCAAGATAAGACAGATACAGGTAGAGGATTAGATTGTTGTTTACTTTGCTATTTAATCACCTGGATATAACAGAAGTTTTGATTCCTTGGTTGCTTTTAAAGGTGATTAATAATGACCGTGGAGTTCACATGAGGCCCATGCCTGGAATGGTTGGCTTGATTTCATCTAGCTCCAAGGTATATTTTCTTTCCCCATTGGACATGTTGATATTAGGATGTTCGTAAATTAGTTCTCTTTTATTTGGCTTTAAACAATGGAGTTATGAACAATACTGCTCCTTAGTAATGGGAAAAGATAACGTGTATACTTTCCTAGTAGTGCTTTCCTCTGGTAGCACTTTTTCTGACAAGAATAATGTGGTGCTATTAGCCAAAGATCCATTCTTTCTGCCCTTAAGAATAAAAAATTGTAATCTTTATTGTCAATTTTATACGAGTAGGATAAGAAGAGAACACAACCAGTTAAACAATCGGACGTTAAGAGAACCAGGAGGGATCGTGGGGAATTGGAAGATATCATGTTCAAGTTATTTGAAAGACAACCAAATTGGGCCTTAAAGCAGCTTGTTCAAGAAACAGATCAACCTGCGGTATGCCTTTTCTATTCCTTGCTGTTATATAACAGAGGTGTTACTGATAAAAAGTTCTGATGTGGTAACAGCTCTTCAGAATATATGCTTGCTAATGCCATTTCCTTTACCGATGCTTGTTGGCTGGTAGACTTCCTAAAATAAGTGTTAATCCATGGTTCATAAATTATATGGTTGTACCTGATTAGTTGATCTGTGGACCATGATTGATGTTAGCTCCTATGTTTTCATCATTGTTATCTAATGCTTATATAGATATGATAATCCCTTTCCTTATATATTTGGTTTCTAGAAGGATGGTTGTCAAATCGGCTCTGTTTTTTTATACCATTATATTGCTCTGGGTATTCATGTGTGAAATTTATTTGGTGTTTTCTCTGAATGCAGCAATTCTTGAAAGAGATACTGAATGAGCTGTGTGTGTACAATAAGCGGGGAACAAACCAAGGAACCTATGAACTTAAGCCAGAATATAAGAAAACTGTTGAGGATACAGGTGCTGATTAATCTTCTCATCTATATTTGTATGGTTGAAACTTTACCATTTTTCTCCTGACAGATATAGGTCAGTAGCAAACCTTTATGGAAGGAGACCATAAAAAAAAAATTAAAAAAAAATGGAAAAATAAAAAAATTGGGCAGGAGGGCGGGAGTGTCTTACTTGGAAATACTGTGGTTAAGGTGCCTCAACATCATGATTGGGAAATCCAATCGGGGGATACTTCTTGGAAATACTGTGCTTAAGGTGCCTCAACATCATGATTGGGAAATCCAATCGGGGGAGACTTACATAGGTTCAATTTTATCAGGTTGGTTGATAAGAACCCTTTACTATGTTCCTTAGTTTCATAATTTTTGCTGAAGCAACTTGTAAAATTTGATTTGGATGGCGTGTATCCTGAAATAGAATGTTTTCCTTTAGTGTGACTTGTTTACAATAGTGCTAGACTGCTTGTTTAATTCTCTAGCAATAGAAACATACTTTGTTGAGAGATTATTTCCATTGTCCTTATTGTAGAGAAAGTCCCTTCAGAAAGAAAGAAAGTTTCTAAAGTTTGCAGGTGTGTTCCTGTAGAGCAGAGTCATTTATGACTTTTGCATCCTCTTGGTGATAGCTTGTTGTGGGCTTGAGTTCAGCTGATTGCCAAATCTATCTCTCTTTTGTAGCATTGATTCTCCAGTAAATTTCTTCTTCACTAACCAGCATCATTGTGAATGTCCAGATAGGGTGTCCCTGTGTTTGAATTCCTAATCGAAATTGTTAAAGCAATTACGAATGGGGACTGGATGCTAAGAAAACGAGTAATGCTGTGTTGCATGAAAAGAAGTTAGAACGCAATAATCGTTGCAGACATGGCAGGCGGTGTAACTTATTGAGCTTCAGGATCATTTATTTTCTCTTGTTCATGTTATTTCCATTTAAGTTATTTTCTTGCTTGTAGATATCCGATTTTGTCTGAGAAAAATTTCCTGGTTTTTGCATCACTTAATAATGGCGGACAAAATTTATCCTGGAGTCACCCTTTTAAATGATTTTAAAACTATGAGTATTAATTAGTTAGTCGTGTTGAACTTCACGGACTAAATAAAAAGTAAGAGGGAGGAAGCTTCCTGATGAGGTTATCTGAATGAAACTGGATGTTCAATTACCGATTGTTTTTGTGTTTGCTACAGTGTTTGAGTGCTTTTTAAAAGTTGATTTAGATTAAAAAAGTATTAAATTAATGATTTTTTAATGCTTTACAATAATTTCGATATGCTTTCAAACAAAATTTATTTTGATATATTTTCATGCCTAAAATGCCCTGGTTAAACACGTACTTAACCAGCCAACCAAGGGCAAGTAGTTTGTCCCTTGAAGAGGCTTTAACTGCAGTTAAGAAAACAAGATGGAAAATGGAGTTGAGAGAGGGGAGGAGGAATCTGTTTTGTACCAGGCGGGCTTGGGTCTTTCGCTGAAATCACCTTGGGCTCTTGGCTGAAATTGGGAGCCCACACTAGAGAGGGTCCGGCCTCAAGTAATGGGCTGGGGTTCGAAACCTTGTCAGCTTGGTATGGTTGAACCAGGTAGATCAAGGGCTTATCTGCACTGAGCTAACTTGAGGAGTCAAGACTAATTCTATGTCATATAAACACGTCTTGATGCATCTGCTGATGCGGTGACTGAATCAGCATTTCAAAGGAACTCATAACTGCTTCTTGGCTGTGATGTTTCTCCCCGTCTCACTATAGGGCAGGGATGTCTTATATGGAAGTAACAGGCTTCAGAATATGCTTAAGGTGCTTCTGTTAAAACAATTAACATCAAACATAAAAGGAGAATACAATTATAAATAATCAGTGTATTATAAGTGTTTAACTTTAATTTAAATATATGTATAGATATATAATATAGATTAAATTGAAAATATTATTTTATTTTTAATAAATAAGATTATATAAATATTATTTAACATTTCAACACCATGACCGTGAAATTCAATTGGCGGAGATCACATTTTATCTGTCTGGTTAGTAAAAACCCATTATCGTTGTTTATAGTTTATAATCTTTGCCGACGCAACATGTAAAATATTATTCGGATGGCGTGAGTTGATACTGGAAATAGAACGTTTGCCTGCGGTATCGATTGATTATAGTAGTGCCGAACTGCTTCTCTCTCTAGAAATAGAAGCATAATTTGGTGTTGACAGTTTCTTTCACGTTATTTACTAAAACAAAGTCATTTTGTTCTTCTTTCTTTGATTTTTTAATGTCGATTCGATTATGTTTGGTTGGGTCTATCAATTCACTACTAAAAATTTAGTTGGTAATAAATTCTATCAAATTAGAAATTTAACCATCTACATTGTGTTTTGAAGTATCACTCGAGCCCAGTTGTATTTTAAAAATTAAATTAGTTTAAATTTACCAGATTAAACCACTGAATAAGTTAACTTTAATTATTTTTTAATAATATTATGTATTTATTTTTAATTTAAACAACATTATTTTAAAATAAATCTAAATTAACCTGATAAATCATTATTGGGGTCTTGAGCCGGTTCTATTTAAAACACGATTGAGTGTTTTGTTTGCTATTATTATTTTGGATCATATTTTAAAAGAGGCTACGAGAAAGATATTTGTCGAACATTTTATTCTATTATGCATGGCTTGGACCATCTAAGATCTGATAAATGATCGTGGAGAAACTTTATAATCTCATGATGATTTTTTTTTCTTCTTTCCTGAAAATAGCCCAATCTAAAACAAAAGGAACTTGATTATCAGAATTTATATAAAAAATTAGAAACTGGACCTGTGTTGTGTGATATAAAGACAGAATGAGCCCTGACTTTTGTATGAGTTATGGGTGCATTTCAAAAAAAACGATTTGGGCTAAGGCTCATCTCTAATTATGTATTTGGTATTGTGGTAATTGTTAAGGCTCATCTCTAATTATGTATTTGGTATTGTGGTAGTTGTTGTAGTTATGGTTTGAAAAAAATTATTTTATAAAAAATACTTTTAGTTGAGGTTTGTTTGAAAAAATAGATGTTTGATTAAAACCGTGGTTGAAATTGAAGTCGAAGAAAAAATAATTTAATGTATTTGGTTAAAAAAACTTTTGAAATTGAAATTATAAAATATTTTTAAAAAATATATATTAATATTGATGATTTTAAATTTAACTATTATAGAATTAATTACTCCTATTATATCATGAAATAAATAATACTTTATATAAAATATTTTTTTTATTTTATTAAACTATTTATAATTACATTACATATAAAATTTATTCGATAAAAATTACAGTTTTCATAATTTTTTAAGCGTGTAATAAAATTAGATAAAATATTATCAAGTATAAAATTGATATTACAGTGCGAGTGAATTTAATTTACTCTATATTAGTTTTTCAAGAAAAAAATATTGTTCACATCACAGTGCAAATAAATTTAATTCACTATAAACTAGTTTTTTTTAAATATTAATAACATTAACACTTCAAAAAATATTAATAAAATTAACACTTAAAAAAATATTAATAAAATTTAAAAATATTAATAAAATTAACACTTAGAAAAACATTAATAAAAAAAAAAAAAATTAATAAAATTTAAAAAAACCATGTATGAACAATGCAATTCAATGTAAATAGTGTAGTGAATTGTATTATTCATGTTACATTGTTCATTGATAGTGAACAGTATAATTAATGTATACAGTGAATAAAAAATAATATTTATCTACTTTTTATTAATTTATTTCAACCATAAAAATTATGTGGGATTTATACACAATAAATCAATTTTTTTCTTTACCAAATGACTATAAACTGCAGTATAAACAAACAATATCTAAGAAACTTAGTCCACGGCCACTGTTTACTTTGACCACCTCGGAAACTGAAGAGTGAAGAGGCATGAAGCCACAGCAACTCCAAAATACCAAAACGATGGATCACTTTTCCACAAGCTAAAGGTAACGCGTACGCTCCTCTGCAATTCATCATTCTTTTATCAAATTTATCATGCGCGTGATGAGTGAATGCGAGTGGAAGAAAGATAAGAACAATGTCTTCTTTTTAAGATTGCGAGAAGAATGATCGAGACAGTTTTGTGAATATCAACGACGTTTGATTCTTCTCCGACTTTTTTACACGCTTCATTCTGAGATGTTTATAACTGATCACATAATGTCACTCTTT